GAAATTGATAGTTTTCAGATGTACAGAATTAGGGAATGTTCTGTGTAAATAATGGTAACTTGGGTCACAAATATAGGAACTAATAGTTATTGAGCAAATATGATCAAATTTGGATCACCTGTTGTTAAATTGTTAAATTAAGGTAATGCAGGTAATTTTAATCTGTTTAACTTAAAACCGTTGTTGATCAAACCACTTATAGTGTCCACAGAAAATATTCAGTTCTTCATAATACAAGTATGCTAAGTGTGTATTTGGTAAGTACAGTGGACAGTAYGTAAATGTACAAAGACAGTTACTGTACGAGTCAGTACAAAAATGAATAGAAATGACCTCAGCTCTGTCGCAGAGTTTTTCATTTTTTCTGTAATTCCATTTTCCCCACATTTTAAAGAGTCAAATAAGTAAATAAAAGTATATAAAATATTCAGGCTACATTCAGCTCAAATGTAGATTTAATTTTTTTACAGCAGGAAATTCTGTCAAATTCCCAAAACAATAATTTAGGAAATTGCTGCTTTTAGAAGTTTCAGCTTTTAAATGATTTTGATGGGCAACAACTGGTTTGATTTGAAATCTTTTTTAAATAGTATTTCAGACCAACCTGCCTTAATAACATATAAAACAGCCACTTCACCTTGTTCACCCAAGTATTCATAGACTAACTTACATGAATCATGTTAAAAATGTGAAACACGCTTCCACATCCTCCCTATAGTCCATGTTTCTGTTCAAACCTCAGATATTTGTTGGGTTTTCTCGTAAAGGATGTGCAAACATTCATTTCAGCGTTACTTTAAAGCAGCTGCGTTCAGTCCTGGTCCTGGAGGACCACCATCCTTCATGTTTTAGAGATTTCTCCTCTCCAACACACCTGGTTTGAATACAGGCTTCTGCAGAATAATAATAATTTCTTTGAAATCTGCTTCAGAAAACTTTATTTTTGTCTCTTTTTTTGCAGATTTTAGCTTGTATCTAGCCTTTTGCTATTTGTAATTTTGAGCTATCGTATCTACCATGAGCTTTTCATTTTAAAGCTTTTTGCTAACTTTAGCTCCGTTGTAGCTGCTAATTTAACTTGCATTTTGCTACTTTATCTTTTAGGTACTTTGTATCACCGCAGTTGCTCATCAACTGTATTTTAGCAGGAAATGCGGTTTCTCTGGTTTTTCTTGAACTCGGTCTAAGGTTGGAGTTGTTCACCTAAGCCCAGAGGCTAGGACTAAAACCTGCTGCAGTTCTTTGTTTCCGTTGTTGTTTTCAAAAAGCCRAAGGTTTTCATCCTTCCTGTCTTTCTTCCTCACAGTGGGACCTGGTTTGTTCAAACGCCAGCCTGAATAATTTATGCTCCTCCATATACATGTTTGGTCTCCTTGTTGGAGCTCTTGTGTTTGGACACTTAGCTGATAAGTAAGTTCAACAGCTGACCAGCTAATATGATCTAATGCGTATTTCACTGTGCACATTCCTTTTTAAATTTCTCTTCTTTTTGTCAGGTACGGCAGAAGAATCATCATCCTCATCAGCCTGGGTATCCAGGTCACCTTTGGCGTTGCTGCTGCTTTTGCCCCTAATTTTTACGTCTATACTGCCCTTCGCTTCATGGTGGGAACGTCCATTTCTGGTGTTATTATGAACGCCTTTGTCCTGGGTCAGTCCCTCCAAAACCTCAACCTCAAAACAATAATACCACGATGAGTGAGAACTAAAAGAATTAAATGTGTTTTGTCAGAGGAGCGTCTTAACCTTTTTCAGTTAAAAAATATTTATTTCATTTAAAAATAACTATACTGTAAGAATATTCGTGTTCTAAGACTGAAGTCAGTAGAAAACCACCAATGTTAAATTATATGATTGTTAGACGAGATAAAACCATACAAAACCAGAATTCTGGGAGTGAGGATATGATGCCATTCGGATCTGACAGGAAACCACACACTGACTCACAGTCAGGAAGTACATGTTTTTACACACGATTCTTCAATGGCTGAGTTCGCCCCCTACTGACCTACGGCTGAATCACAGGCATTCATACAAAAACCTCAACCTAATGTTATTAAAACGGGTCTCTTATGTGTTGTTTATGATTCGGACATGTAGCTACTCTATTTCAATTAACACATAATAGATCAAACATTATAAAAGTATTATAAAAAGGAAACCCTAATACTCTAGTGTTGTTTCTAACATCAGTACTAATCTATAGTAACTATAAATTTCTTCAATACAATGGAAAATCAAGAAAAAAAAACACAAATCAAAATAAAATGAAAGGTAGCAGAAGAAGAATAAATCTTATTACAACCTCTGGAACAAGTTGCCGAACTGATTAAAATCTTCAGAAAAAACCCAACAGTCTTTAAAACGTGATAAATGGTAAAATGGACTCAACTTATAGAGCGCTTTATCAAGTCCCTCCAAACCCCAAAGCGTTTTACAGACATTCACCCATGCACACACAGTGATGATGGTAAGCTACACTGTAGCCACAGCTGCCCTGAGAGGTGGGGCTGCCATGCACCGGCGCCACCGGACCCTCTGACCACCACCAGTAGGCAAGAAGTGTCTTACCCAAGGACACAACGACCTTCGGGTTCCAGGACGACTCCCCTAACCACTCCACCACAGCCGCCCATGTGGTGTGTTGTTTCTGACAATGAGTTTTATTATCAGACTGAAAAATAATTTCAAAAACCAGACATTTGTCTAACATTTAATTGAATWAATTGTTTGTTTAATTAGAGACAGGTGGAGTAATTGAAAATGGCCTCCACAGCTTTATGTACCCAGTACTGTAGTCTAGTATGGAAGTGTGTGACATTCACTTCCTACTTTCGAGTCACAACCATGAATTATTTCATACATTTGCATTATTGCACAGTATTTATTTTAGAATGCAATGGAGCTTTTTTTATAAGACCACAAAAAATTTTTTTTGTTATAAAACAGTGAAAACCACAAAACTTTGTCCTTAAAGCAAATAAAGTTTAGATTGTGAAGGAAAATTGCCAAATAATAACTATTAAATTTTTTTACACAACTGGAGATCAATAACAAAAATAATTCAATGATTACAACAGTAAGGAAAATGACTTACTGCACAGAGAATTTACAGTAAATAAACTACAAAAATGTTTACTTTACTTTTACAAACCCTTCTTGTATTTGGCTGAGGAAGTAACACATTCTCACTCCCGACTCGTCATATATTGACACTTTTCCAAGGTTCCCTCTGCATCTTATTTTGACGTGTCGGGTACACCCGTCGCATCAGTTATTGAYGCACCAGGCATTTCCGTGTTCTCTCACCGTCCAGTTTTGGCGCGTTGGGATGCAAAATATAGGGGTCTTTGACTTGGGGTTCATGGTTAATATTAGGGATCAGGGTTGATGGTTAATTTTAGGTAGTGGGGTCAGGAATAGGATGTTTAGGGCGAATATTATGTAATTTTAGGCTTTGTAAGACGTAGTTCACGTGAATTTCCTACAATTTCTAAAAATGGTTAATTTTACGTATCAGGGTCAGGGACAGGATGTCTAGAGTGAATAAAGGGAATTTTAGGCTTTGGGACGGTAGTTTTGGTGCATTTTCTACACTTTCTGAAATTATGACCACGGATTCCACCCCATCTCGTCAAAAACTGACGCGAAGAGGGTACCCGACGCGTCAAAATCGGACACAGAGAGAACCTTGGAAAAGCATCAATATGTGGCGACTTGGGAGTGAGAATGGGTTGAGAAGACATGACAAAACATGGGTAACAGGTGTTCAGGTCATGCAGCAACCAGTAGGGGTTGCGCTACCTTTAAAAAGCTTGGAATACACACAATAGGAAAGATAAGTTTAAAAAAATGCTCTGATTCTATGTTTACACAGAAACAGAATCATACGCTCAAAAAACCACTCGCATACAGTGCAAGGCAGCTAAGGAAGGGAAGGGGCTGGGGCTCAAACACATGGTACGGGATAGGATGCAGCAGAGCCGGTGATATTTCAGGGTAAGACTCCATGCTGGAACCAGTCAAAGACCTCCAGAGTCCAAAAACAAGTTATCAACCAAAGCACAAATCACCAGAGTTCAGTTCTCTGTCTCCACCCATCGTGGTCTTCAGACTGATCCACCCACGGATGATATGGGTAGGGGATGGGGAGTCAAGCCTTCGTCTCACGTGTCATCCAGGGGAGTTTTGAAACTGCCGACAAGGTCAGCAGCTCCAGGGATCCAAAAGATAAACATAATTGTTTTGGGACAAGTAGCCTTTATTTTTCTCCATGCTTTGTCTGTTACTGTGTCTCTGTGATGGCGAAAATGCCACTGTTCTGAATTTCATTAACACCTCGCCTCTCCTTCCAACTGAAACTTCACCCAGGTGTAATCCTACATCTCATGAGCACGCTGCTGAACTGTGATCCTCGTCAGAATCACATCCAGTTTGCGACTTATATCCCCCAACATTTGAGTCTGTGCGTTTCCAGTGTGGTAGACTCCACCCATGGCTCCTGACAGCTTCTCACAGGCCCGGACTTCTGTCAGGATCACTTTCATTTTCCGATAAGCCAGGACTCCTCCACAGCCAATCAGCAGGAATCCAATTATCATAAATCCAAATATGTACAGATCTTTGATGTCTTCAATGGAAAGCGGTGCTAACAGATGAGGTTCCACCACCAAGAACCAGACACTCGCCCGTCCGCCACCATTCCACTGGGACAGCTGTGCTCCCATCGCTCCAATCTCAGTGTGGAAAAAATAGTGTTGATTGCGTTCAGAGAYCAGTTGACCAAATCCATAATTCCTTTTGTTTTCAGATGATAGGTAGAAGAAAGGCTTGACTACTACACACTAGTGTTTAAGAAAAAAATCACTAGTGCAAAATAACAGAAACGAAGCAACAATTTAACAAAAACATTAACATAAYAATGTCAACAACACAACAACAAATAAAATGAGGCAGAGGACTAATGATTAACTCCAAACTCACTACTGACTTTATTTTTCACTTTAGTTGTGAAAAATAATGTCAGTAGTGCAGATCAAGTGTAAACAAAAAAGTTTATTCCATCACTCTGGTATCGATTCAACTAATCTTGGTATCGATACGCCCACCCCTAATGGTCCCAGCCTGTCTGCAGCTGCTTCAGTCCGTTCACTCTGAGGCATAGAATAGAATAGAATAGAATAGAATAGAATAGAATAGAATAGAATAGAATAGAATAGAATAGAATAGAATAGAATAGAATAGAATAGAAACAGCCTTTATTGTCCTGCAGAGGGGAACCGTCAGTGGTCCAACTGAGACCTGAGCAGTTAAGGACATTGATATATACTGTATTACTGGATTGGACATCACATGACCTGGACGTGGCTTCAAGGGGGATTTTTATGCATTGAGCTAATGCTAACGCTAAACATTGAAATCAATGAGCGGAACGTAGTGCGGTTCAAACAAACGCTTTATAAATTTACAAATTGTACAAATACTTTGCTATAAACTACATAGATTGTTACAACATGTTTACAAGAGATAAAAGGGTTTGTTTCACAGGTAAATATTACGCACATTTAACCAAAATTAATTATTTTAGTTGTAAAACCTGTGTGCTAACATTAAACAGCTTCAATGTTCATGTTTAACCTTATTTAAAATCGATTTTATCTGTTGTCAAATATATTATTTACTGATATTAAACATGTAAATATGGACTTTATTGGATTTTTGACTAGTTAGACTGCATATAAATCCAGAAATTATGATGTAGACTCACTAATGACACTAATGTGATGATTGAGCATCGTAAACAAAATTGTTGTCAGACAGGTCGGTTTATCCAGATATTTTCTGCATCCAGTATTTGTGTTTTCCACCACTTCCAGAGAAAAAGGAGAAAAAAAAACATGTGTACCAGCTGTGGGTCAGCTTCAGATACAGCCTGCATCATTGTGAAATAGAATAATACTTTGTGATAAAAATAAATTCATTAAACAATTCTTTGTGACCTGAAATAATTAGTATTTTTTAGTTTGTTTTTACTGATGTTAAAATTTTTGTAGTTTACAGCAAAAACTTTTATAGTTATGTACATATGTATACACACATACACAGAGAGAGATAGAGAGAGAAACTTGAAAAATTAATTTTATTATTTAAATGTCTAAGACTCAGTTCTGATTAATAAATATATGTATAAATATCCAGCTGGTCAGAACTCATTGATTTGTATGAAAAAACACCTGTGAAACGCAAAATACTTAGTTTAAGCCACTGTTTTAGTCGTTTAAATTAGTTATCTATTTTAAATTTCCATAACTATGTAATTCACAATTTCCTCAGCTTTATTTTGAACCATAGTTTGTAAAAATCGAGCAAGAAATAAGTAAGTTATAAGAGTTTTTCATCAGGAAGACACCTCACAGTCCATTGACCACCATTCATTGTGTTGAGGCTCCTCAGTGCAGAACAGAGCTCCAGTGTGGGCACGTTAATGTAGCTAGCAATGCGCTAGCCATGCCCAATCCAGTAATATATATCACTGGTTAAGGAGGTACTGTAAAGGCCTTTGAATGTCAATACTTACCAACAGAGAACCACATCGTAATGATTAAACTACCTCCCGTGATTCTAGAGTTGAGTATGAATGTATTGATGTGTCTCTGCCTCACAGGGACTGAATGGACGGGCCTGAAACACCGGATGTTGGCTGGTATAATCACAGACTATTTCTTTGGTTTTGGCTACATCTTACTGGCTGGAGTAGCGTACCTCATCAGAGACTGGCGTAAGCTGCAGCTGGCTATATCAGCGCCTGGCGTTCTCTTCATCGTCTACATCTGGTGAGCAAGCAGAACCTTGACCCACTTTGTCAGGTAGAATTTTTTTAAAAAAAGTGCTTCATTGATTTCTCAGAAATGTTTTCCACAGTCTGACGACAAACTGTTCATCTGATGACCTGACTTGTTTTGAAAAAAGAACATTTCTGCTGTTTTAAAAATAAAAATCGTGCTGGTTTCCACTGAAGTTACACGATCCGTGCTGTTTTTCTCAATTATTTAAAGATTCAAATCTGACTGTTACTTAAGATTAAAGACGATATAAATAAGCCATTTTTTAAATCAAATTTGTTTACAACTAAAAAAATGGCATTTGTTGCCTAAAACTGTTTGCTTTGAACGAAACTGTTCTAACTTTTAGATTGTTCTGTTATATAGGTTTTATAAAGAATATTAACTTCAAAAATGAACAACTTAGTTATTTTTCATGCCTCAAAAACTGACCTTTAACAGGTGCTCGAGCTTGAAAAAGGGCAATATTTAAAAAAATTGTTAAAGCTATAAAAATTTACAGCATGAGCTGCTGAATTAAAGCAATGCAAGGTTAAAGAAAGTGTAAACACAAGTTTCACCATCAGAACACTTCCTGCTCCAGCTRTAACTGGAGCTAAACCAAAATCTGCCGTTAAAATGATCAATTATTTTTTTTCCAGCAATTAATATGTCCTTTATCTCATTACCAGTACAGAAGATTTACAGTGGGGTGCGAACTAGGGCTGTAAGAAAATATCGATACACTGAAATATTGCGAT